TTTCCGAAACCCATTTTTAAAAAAATAATTGCGGCAAAAAATGTTGTGAAAAAAAGTAGTAAAAATTATATTTTGCGATCGAAATTGTGTTTGATTTAACCCTTAAGATTCGAATTTTGAAATTCTTAACCTCGTAAATATTTCGATTAAATTTTACGGATAGAACGAGTGAAATTTTATCTATCTATTGATGTAAAATACATCTTGGAAAATATATTTTTTAAACCTGTAAACGTGGTTTGTTTTGGAAAAACCGCGTAAATTATTGGGTTATCGAGCTGTTTAACATAAGAATTTTGGATTTTGGGATAAAAAATAACTTCGGCAAACCGTGCCAAAATCACGATAAGAGATTTATGATCCTAATCATAAAAAGACATTTTAAAAAATTATTTTTTTTCGAACTAATTATGCCCATTTAAGTCCATTTTTAAAAAACACAAATTTATAAAAAAAATAAATAAATTTGCCAGTGATTTTATTTGTCCAGATGTTTTAAGATTCCAAATAGTCAGCTGTTCCTTATTTTGTCCTAAAATATTACTAATACCACAATTAAAGTGTAGAAAATTTTTTCAAATTGTAAAAATATTATGTCTTTTAAAAAAAAAGATTAAAGATTTCGTAATTATTATTTTATGATTTTTCGTGCATATTCTTATATAAATTATTGCGCTCTTTATTTCTTGAAATGAAAGAAGAATGAATTTAGGGAGTGAAAGATAAATGTACATATTATCCCAAAAATTTATTTATTATAAGGTTTTTTTTTTAAAATGATTATATTAGAAAATAAAAATATTTTCTGAATAAAATGCTAAGGTATTTGATATTTTTACATCGTGATATCAAATTATTTAGAATCACTGACATAAATATCCTGGATAAAGATATCCGGAGTAAAGTACCCCGGACAAAATGACACTGGAAAAAATTTAAATACTTTAATTAAAAAAAGGATAATTTGAATAATTCACTCTTTTTTAAGCATTTAAATTAATTTTTTAAAAGTTAGGGTATTTTTGCCCGATGCATTGTTGTCGAACGGTTCGATTTTGTCGATTTTAAATTAAGATTTTGGCCAAAATAATATTAGTCAAGGCATCGAGATTTCGTTAATAAATCTACAAACTTTTCTGGACTTCTATGAGCTAAATCTCCAGGCTCGCGTAATATTTTTTGGCCACAATATTGTATTAGTCTTTGTTAAAAATCGAACCATTTAACAACATTTTATACGATGTCTTTTTGTCTGTGTGTAAATTTGTTCAATGTCCATTTTGACCGGGGTACTTATGTCCGGGGCATTTTGTCAAGTGATTCAAATTTTTCTTTAGTCTTAAATGATCAAGTATGTACATGATTGACAGAGAAATTCAGATCCGGTCCAAAATACGGCTGTTTTAAAAATTTTTTTTGATACAAAACTCGGGCCTGGCCAGACCGATTAAAAAATAAAATTATATCAATTAATCACCATTTTAAGTGGATCTTCAAAATAAAAATAAAAATCTCCGCTAACCCAATATCTTAACCAAAAAAATATTATGCAAGCCAGGATATTTTGTTCATAGATGACAGAAAAAGTTGGGTATCTTGCATAATATTATTTTGGGCCAATATCTTAATTTAAAATGGGCTAAATCGAGCCGTTTAACAACACTACTCTGCATTGGTCATTTCGTTAAGTGCGCTCATATTTTCAATTTCCATTTCAAACAATTTTATAAATACAGCAAAAAAAACACAATAAATAACGAAATTCGAAAAATAGGAACATAGCTTAAAAATAAGAAAACCACAGCTTGAAAATCTTTCTAAACGGATGTTAGCAAAAACTTGATCATTTCATGAGTCAAAAAAAATCTAAGAATTAATTTCACTTATAATAGCGGATAAAATTATAAAAATATGACATGATAATCAAAACTTTTAGGAAATCTATTGAAATAAGTTTTAAAAAAATTTGTTTTAAATAATGTGAGCCAGGATATAATCGTTGCTTATAATGAAAAAGGCACGTTACTACACCAGATTTATTTTAGTCATGACACAGGTACCATCACTAAAGGAATCCAATTTTTTTCCAAAAAGTTTTCGGAAAACCTGGCGAATTTAAGAAGACCCAGTAAGGTATGAACTATCTCCTCTGCATCTTTTGTTTCCAGTTCAATTAAATGTGATAAAATTCAGAGATTCCAAATCCCCATGGATATCCTAATGAGGAAATAGATTTTCTTGTCACCTCGATCAATTGGATAAATATTTTTTGATTGGTTATTTTATATATATATATTAAAAATTTATCAGATTTTTAGATTTTTGGGGCTTCTGTCCAATTCAATTTAAATATTCTATTACCTAAGCCTCGAGATTTTAATAATATATGTCTAGACCATTGTTCCTTCTCTGAGTAAAATCCTCAGGCTTGCGTAATATATTTTTGGATGAAATATTGAGTCAAAACGAACCGTTTAGCAACAAGTATATTTAGATTTGAATTTGTTCTATTTTCATAAAATTATTGAATTTTGGATTATAATTCATTTTTTTTATAACAATGCTTTGAATGGTATTCGTTATTTTATAAAGGTATTAACTTTTCTTAATTTTTCTTTTAAATGATGCTACATTTTTTCGGAATGCAAGGGGTGGGGAGTGTGTAGGGAGGTGGAATTCTTATTAGCTTAAAATGATATTCACGAAAACAGGCTAATTTTAGGAGAGCTACGTATATTATTTTGGACTTGTTTCCGTTTAGATCTTATTTTATGCAATCTTGGGGCATTAATCCCATTAAAATAATTCTGCCTCGAATAAATTATTATTATTGATAAAATTTAAAAAATTCCTATTCATTCCCAAAAATTATTATTTATTCGAATCCAAGATTTCAAGACGACGTTGCTACATAACAACACTAAATGATAAATAATATAATATCAGACACTGATGTCGATAATAATCGTGATTTGCAAACATGCTAAATACGATATCAAACCGAGCAAAACAAGGGACTAAATGATATCCACTACCATGATCGAACTAATAACAAGCGGTTATTAACGAGCAAATGAGACACTAACGATGTATAAAGAATTGATACTGATACATAATATAAACTAAAAGGACAATATAGTAACTAAAACGACGATATAGCACTAAAATGACGATATAACAAAACAACTAAAACGATTATATGGCCCTTAAAAAAATGTCTACTTTTGATAATTATTAAATAAACAAGTTATTGAGTAATAACTATGTTAGCGTTAATCTCATATTTTTTGAGCACCTATATAAATTTAAAAAAATATAATTTTGTTGGAAATGTATTCCAACATGTGAATAAAATACTCAGTGATTTTTAGATAATTTTGCAATAAACTTATGAGCTTAATATAATTTATGTTCGTTTTCACATATAAATTATAAATGATTCAAAGGTTAACAACAAAATTGAATTTCTCTATTTACAAGATTGCGAGTTTATTATTCCAACATCATCCCAATTTTACAATACAGTGGAGACATATGGAATTTAACAAAAAATTACAATCCTTCAAAAACAACTGTCTCAGAATAATAAAATTACATTTTTTTTATTTAAGAATTATCTTTAATGTCAAATTATGGAAAATTTCTCCTCTTACAAGTCATATTGGAAAAAAGACATATTCAATTCTTAGTCCACATCATAAATGCCACTACTCTATTGGGAAAGGATACAGTAAATACAAAACATTGCGCTTATACAAAACGATAAAGTTCATAAGATTAAATAATACCAAAAAATCGATAAAATTTATGCAAAAATAAATCTGATTATCTAAAATGAAATTCCATTAATTATCTCTTTACATTCTATATACACAACAAATTTTCTCCACATGTTGATAGAATAGAAGTCGCGTTGAAAATTTTAATCAAACGACCTATTTACTTAATTCAACCATAAAAATTTAGTCATTTAAAATCAGCCCCCCCATATAAAAAAATTAGCAGTTCATAGGCGTACACATATTTTGGCCAATCCTTTTATAATCAGCTTACAGATGCTTAAATAGTCCTCAGACTATTATGTATACAAGTATGGCCTGACCTTCTAAAGTGTAGAGGGTTTCTCATGTATAAAAATTTTTTTATATCCAGCTTGATGTAAATGATTATCTACTAAATAGAGAAATCAGATACCTGCAGGCCCGGTCCTAAGCCCGGATTAAGGGCCGGGCCGTATTTTAATTTTTAAAAATATACTTGGGCTGGGCCTTATATTGTAAAATCAAATATTTGAAATCGTCAATATTAGCTATAAAAATAAATATTATATATTTAAAATTCGGGCCGGGCCTTAATTTTTTTTTAAAAAAAAGCAGGGCCGGGTCTTGAAATATAAAACATGGGCCGGGTCGTGCAAATGGTACCTCTACAGGTCTCTGAGAGGAATATAAGCTAATCACGTGATTAAGAATTTCAAAATAATAACAAAAGGGCCACATTTAAATTTACTATATTTAGAATATATAACAAATCTAGAAGTAAACTGTCTTAACGTGTTTCCTAAACATTAAATTTCAAACATCAACATAAACAAACTATATCAATTGATTCCCAATAGAACAAATTATATGATCGATTCTTAAAATCAAATATATTTTTCAAATAATCAAGATTGATTTCATCTAGGTAAGTGTAATAGGTTATTAAAATTATTGGAGGAAAATAGCATTATCCTTATGCATTTTTTTTAATACTCTATTCACCCAATGATAGATAATCACTTTATTTTCAAATATGTTCGAGTATAAAACTTGTATCATAAATTTTAATAGGAAAATATCGGTTTGTAATATTATTATATTAAGCGTTTTGATAAAATTAATTCATGAAGTAAAAATTGTATAATGCAAATATAACCACAATCAGATTTTTTAGACAACAAATTTACAAATATCATTGAGTTTAAAATGTAATATATTATACCAAAAATAACGGAATTCATTATTAATTTGTTTAAATATGCCGAATATAGTGCGAGATAAAAAAATGTTTTAAGGAAATTATTGGTTTTAGATTATGGTTGTTATGAGAATGCATATATTGTATATTTTAATATAAAATAAGTGGAGAAAAAAATATTTAATACATTAAAGTAAAATTATCTAAAATGTAAAAAAAGAACAAAATGAAATATTCCGTTACAAACAGCTTCTTAAAAAAAGGCGTTTTAACTGTACAAATCATCGTCCCCTTCTTCTGTATTAGGATGGTGATTAGATGTGGGATTGGCAGGATTCCTACTAACGCTATTCCCAGTAGGTCCCAAGCCGATATTATCGGAGTTATTCGAATTATTGCTATTGGGGAATCTACAATTTATCCATTAGAACAGACGATAACAAATAAATTTACATAAAAAATAAAAAATTGGAATTTTTTTTTATAAAATGGAGTCCGGAAATAACCTTAAAATTATGCCCCCCCCATATATACAAGCTTATCACTATAAAGAAAACAAAGTTAACAACTTTTTAAAATAAAAACTAAATTTTTTTAGGAAAAATAAGTGAAATCCCAAAATTATTTTAATAAAAATATAATAAAGCCAAAGGCCTACAATAATTGGACCTAAAGACCTCCAATAATCTAACCCGCCTAAGAGTGTTTTTTCCCCTATTACAAGAAAATCCTAGATATGCCTATGCCAGAAACGCCACATATTTTTTTTTAAAATAAGAAAAGTGTATATAGCCAAGTTGTTAAAAGATAGTTTTTAAATGGATCTAGTTACAAATACATAGCCTAAAATGTATCTAGATCCAGAGACAATTTTTATCATACTTATATATAGAGTTCGCGTTGTTCTCGAACAGAAACTCTTATTATGTGAACACAAAATATGTAAACAACATTTTAATATATTTTTTTAATTATATTAGTCAATTTTTTTAAATATATATATTGATTTAAATTATATGCTCATATGAGATAAAATGAATTTTGCATTCAAATATTTTTATTTTACAGATAAGAAAACGTTAAATAAAAGTATATCAATATGTATCTTGAAAAGTATTTAAAAACAGATAGATACCCCAAAAATAGGATCTAGATAGATAGACACGACATTTTGGTATCTAAATAATTTAACAACTCTGCTGTCATTTATATAGTATATAAATGACAGAGAAGAGAATTTTATTTCATAGACAATTTTTTTTAAAAAGTGTTTCAGTATCGCAGGTAGCTGCGATTAAATATTTAGTATTGAATAATTAAATTTGATTTAAATTATGTTCGCATTCAATCGAGGTTTATTCGATTCAAATTATTCGAATTCATACCCCTATTTTAACGGAAAAGAATTACTATAATAATCAGTTAATAAGCGAATTTTTAGGTTGTTTCTTCTTTTTAAGACAATTTTTTGACAGCAAATTTAAGATAATCGTAATTGTCAGATTGATAAGTGATCAATTAGAATGACAAATGATTAAATGTTATAAAAAACTTTTAATAAATATTTAATTCCCAGTCGCTATTATTCCATTTGTTTTTGAATAGGACCAGTCAAGAAATAAGGAAAATATTAAATATTTCATAAAAGATTGATTAAGATTCAATGTCAACTGTTAGGTTCATTTTCATTAACACATATGTATTTTTCCCCAGGTAACAACTAAATCATCAACTCGTTAAACATTCTATTGCTGACTTCCAACATTGATAATAGATCATTATAATATAATATTTCAATCCTAAAAGTTATTTTAGAATGCTAATATCCAAAGAAACATAAAAAGTAATCCACAATTCCACCCATACATATCTATCCTAAATTTAAACTACTATTCCACAATGACTCCATTTTTATACACCTACAAAATGTCACCAATTAATATTCAATGAACTTTTTATATTTAATCACCACCATATTTGGAGAACCCTATCAGCCATATTCTGTTATATTTATCTTAAACAAAACAATTCTACAATTAAGTGTTCAAATTAAATTCCCAAGCTATCAACAATTTTTCATCTTTCAATATACCCTCATATCTTTCTACCAAGAAAAGAACAACATCAAATGGTTACAAATTTGTGAGGACCTCCTATTCTTTAATTAGTATTTACATAAATATATTTTTATATAAAGGGAGAAATATATTTAAAATGTAAAATAATTTGTATCACTCATTCATCTATTATGAAATGTTTTCTTTTTATTGTGACTTAACTATAGGGCACATAATGTTATGGATTAGTTTTCTTACTAATAGCCTTCAACAATAAGATCAAACAATAGTAAAGATGATGACGATTAGCAAGGTATAAAAGCATGGGAAAATGGTATTTAACTTATTAAAATACAAAACCTGAAACTGGTTCCAAAACCCCGGCTCTGTTGTAGGGTTTGAGCGAACATCTCGTACTTGCGAATATCGTTATCACTGACAGAACGGCGAGAACATCTCATGGCCTCTTCAAAGTGGTCACGTCGTATTTCCGGTACTGGATCCTCGTCTTCTTCCTGATTAAAAAAAATAATCATATTATTTCGGTGTTTTTAAAATTTTTGATTTTACACTGCCTTGCTTTGTACATTGATCAATTTGATCTTAAAAAATATTTTGGCCCAGATCCAAATGACATAAATTTTTTTTTTTAAAAACTTCAATCCAAAAATTACTTGTATAATAAAATCCTTGCAAAATCACTAAATTTAGTTATTTTATTTAATATAAAACCACCTAAACTTTCCTTGTATTGTAAAATCATATCGGTAGCCTTACAATAACCCAAATCAGGGTTTTATAATCAAATGTTATCCTTTCTAACCATGGCCATCTTATCCGGATTGTCGATTTGCCTCTTGGCCCTTTGAATGTCGGCTTCGATGGATTCCCTGATGGCCAATTTGCAGGCTCGTTGACAAATTTCGGTGAGATCAGCTCCACTATAACCGGGCGTCATTTTAGCCAAAAAAATGAGGTCGACATCCTAGAAATAATATCACGCGTTTAAAAAATATTACTTTAAATATTTAAGATAAATATTTTTAGAATATCATGCAATATCAAATAAAAATCTGCAGTTATCTAGTTCTAATGTAGTGAAATAAATAGAATTAATTTTTTTTTCGATAAAATATATTTATGGTCAATTTATAAAAAATATTAGATTGCCTAAATTGTTAGATATAGAAATATTATTTTATATATGTTAGACATACCTAAAAATTCTCTAAAAGCAAAAATAAACATAAACACTTTAAAGTGATAGTAAGTGATAAATATTTAGAACTAGATAACCACAGATTTTGAATTGTTACTACATGATATTGTAAATACATTCATCTTAAATATATATAATAATACTATGAATTTCCTTATTTTAAAAGTTTTTTGAGCAAATTTTTTAAATTTTAGATGAAACCTTATCAATAGGACTTTTGTGAAGATTGGCTTTGAGAATTGCTTGTCTGCTACCTTCATCCGGTAGGGGTATGTAAATAAGTTGGTCCAATCTACCAGGCCTTAAAATGGCGGGATCTATTATGTCGGGCCTATTGGTAGCGCCTATTATGAAAACGTTTTTCTTGCTACTCATGCCTATTTTAATTTTTGAGATTGTGATAAATAATAAGTTAGATTAATATATAAATAGAGAATACTTCAATGCTGTTTTGGCATTATATACATTTTGATAAAAATATTATTGAAAAAAAAAATTTATTTCTGGAAATCTTAGAATTGTGTGGAAATAAGGTTCAAATATAAACGAATGACTTAAAATCAATAAGTCATAAAAGGATGAATTACACAGTCTAAAGATATATCTGATTATTTTTTTAATGGTAAAGAATTTTCATTCCTAAATCATTATCCAACTATAATGTTCGGCCATATAAAATCGGAAATTTATTTTAAATATAAAATATAACGGGATCGGTGTAAAATGTATACTTAATAAAATTATTTGTAATTATATACAAAAATTTTTTATAATTTAACCCTTAAGATATATATCTATATTAAGTATTTTAACTATTCATAAAATTTTTTAATGCTATTTAAAACCATTAATAAATTTGTAAAACGCATGCTTATATATTATAATTAAATTTGTAAAACGTATGCCTAATAATATTATTAATAATTGTATATATTAAAATATTTATATTCTCACCCTTAGATATATATTTGTATCAAGTATTTGATATAACTATTTGTTGTCATTAATTACTATTTTGGTATAAAATTTTTTATTTTTTTTAAAGATTATTATTTTTAGCGATTTTGAATGGGAACCAATATAAATTAACATAGTGAAAACATTATACCCTACTTAGTTAAACATTATTTGTGTGTTACTACACAGATAACCTGGAACTGTAAATGTTCTGTATTATATTTAAAAATAATCATATAAGTTTTACCATCCATCTCAGTAAGGACTTGATTGATAACACGATCCGAAGCAGCACCACCCTCTCCTACGCCGCCCCCTCTTGATTTTGCTATCGAATCTAGTTCGTCAAAAAATAGAACACAGGGGGCTGCTGAACGAGCCTTATGTTAAGATACGTAAATATTTAATTTAAACTGTTTACGATTATTTAAAATAATTTTTTGATGAATATTTCAATCTATAGAATTTATTTTAAAAAAAACAAAAACCTTTGATTTCTAGTTTTTTAAAAAATAAAAATATATAATATTTTATTCGACATAAAAAAAAATCTTTACTATCCACTGATGTAACGAATCACAAGGTTTACCACTAGAGAAACAGTTTATTTATTAGTCTTAATTAGGGCTGTGCCAATATTAAAATGATATGGTTATAAATAGTGTTGTTAAAAGGCTCAATTTTTAAAAACGGCTAACCCAAAATTTTCGCCAGAAATGTTATGCAGCCCTCGAGATTTCGTAATAGATATCTAAACCTTTCTTCCATCTATGAGCTAAATCTTCAGGCTTGGGCTAAAATATTGGGCTAAGTCGTTTAACAACACTAGTTATAGCTGCTACAAGATAAGCAGCAAATTTTTAAATGCATAAACATCTTGGTATGTTAATAAAACTTTAAAAAATAATTTATCAAACAAAAATATTTAAAAGAAAAGTCAGCATCGGTAAATGAAATGAGCCAATGTTATGGATCGGTTTTTAACAATTTTTCGCCCATCCAATCCAGAACAAATTCTTGATAGACCGATTCTGACGCCTCCTCATAATAATTTTGTTTCATAACAACTAACAAGTTTTAATATTAATATCGATATTCCGAGATGTTTATGCATAAAAAATTAGCTACCAATCTAGCACCAATTCTAAGTTATACACATTTATAAACAGGTCATTTTAATATCGGCACTACAAAAAAAGTTATTTAGATTAAAAGAATTGTTAAATAAATTAAAAAATTGATTTTGACTCGTGGTTCAGCAATCAGTTTTTATTCAATGTTAAAACTACCCTTTATTATTTTTTTAAAACGTAATATTATACATCACTTTCATATGGTTTTTTCTTAATAAATAAAAATACACTATTTAAATATTTAGATGCTTAAGGTTTATTTTTCTTAAGGTAATAAAAATAATTAATGTTTGTCAAATCACTTAACTTTCACGAACTCCAAAAAAGACTTAGGTTATTATAACAAAAGATTAATCTCGATCTTCAAGAAGAGGCTCAACATAGAAATTTATCTCAGTTATTTTAGGCTAAAAGCCTGGCTTTAAGCTATGGGTGATTTACAACACTAAAAAAAATTACACTAAAATAATATCATATATTGGTATGATTTGCTTCCCAAATGTTTATTATTTGCTAACGTAATTTAAATAAAAAGAGTATTACTTTTAAATGTGGTATTAGAATATTATTTTTACAATTTTTCAAAAATAAAAATTACAATGATGATCATTAAGATAAGGGTAGTCAAGAAAATATTACATTATTCACTCAAACACTTTTCCAAATAGATTTTGGATATATAATTTAAGCATTCACTATAATAATAATTTGTGTGCATGGCTATATTAATGTTTGGTTTAATATTTTTTTTATTCTGATATTTAAAGCTCAACAAGGGGTTAGCTTCTTATATAGTAATTGCTAAAAATTAAATTAAAAATTAAATAAAGAGGATAATATCCAAGTACAAATAGAATGATAAGCATTTTACAAAACATATTCCAATATTGAAAAACAAATTTACCTTATCAAAGAGGTCCCTAACATTAGCCTCGGATTCTCCAAACCACATGGTGAGCAATTCTGGCCCTTTGACGCTGATGAAATTGGCTTGGCATTCGTTGGCAATAGCTTTGGCCAGGAGGGTTTTACCACAACCAGGCGGCCCGTAAAACAAGACGCCCCGAGAAGGTGTCATGCCGAATTTGAGGAATTTTTCGGGGTGCTCCACTGGGTACTACAAATTTTTTTTTAATTAAAAAAAAATAATTAATTTTTCACGTTGGCCTATTATAAATAGGCCCCTGGTTTTTTTTAATTTTAGGTTCTGGTTGGTTAAAAAGATTTATAGTTCTGGTTCCAGAACCATATTTTTTTTGTGTGGATAGTGGAGTCAAGTTCCGATTTTCTTAAAGGAGGATATTAACTGGTTTTGCAATTCCAATCTCTGGATTTTATCAATTATTTCAAACAAACTAATAAAATATTTCATGAACAATCTTAATTTTACATACATTTTTACTATAATTTTGTTTTTCAAAATTTACTTGGACTAATTCCTGCAATTCGCGTTTAACGTTGTCCAGTCCGCCAATATCTTCCCACGTGACGTTAGGTATTTCAACAACGGTTTCTCTCAGAGCGCTAGGGCTGCTCTTGGCTAACGCAAACTTTATTAATTTATTTTGAAAAAAAATTCATCATAATATGAAAGATAAATATGGTCAAACTTAAAGAGCTATATTGAACCAGGGCAGATATTTTCGAAAAAATTGATCTAATTCAACATACAAATGAGTTATTTTTTGCAAAGGATTAAAAAAAATATATTTCAACAATCAGCTAGAGCTGGCTTACGATACCAATTAGTATAGAAATAGTTGTTTCAAACAATTGCAACTTTTACTATTCGCCTCGTTTTTGAATAGGCCAAATCAGGAGTATCTATATAAGAGGTAGTGTTGTTAAACGGCTTGATTTGAGCCATTTTAAAAATGGTTAACACAATTCTCATAAATTGTAAAAGAATCGATCTTAGGATTCAATCAAATAAGCCTTAAAAAATATTGATTGCACATTCATTATATTATATAATATGTTATAACCAATTAAAGATATAAATAGGCTTTGTCATTTTATCATTTAACTTAAATTCTTTTTTTGCAATCACTTTTTCCAAAAAATTGGTAAGATATTACTCTAAAATTAGCCTGGGTCACGGCCAAACTGTTCAAGACTTCTGCATCTAGCTGTTCTTCCTCAAGATCAATCAATTCCATCTTCTCCCGTATTTGTTGAAAAGCGGCCTCACTGCAAAGAGCTGCCAAATCGGCTCCCACATGTCCGTGCGTCTCACCCGCCACAGTCTCCAATTCTACATCAGGTGCCAGTTTCATGTTTTTCGTGTGGATCCGCATAATCTCAAGTCGCCCAGTGGCATCTGGAATACCGATGTCAACTTCACGATCAAATCGCCCTATGATTTATAAATAATTAATATAATGTTATATACATTTTTTAAGGCTATGTCCAAAACATCAAATGATTAAATACACAAGCTTTCAAAACTTTAATGAAAATAAATAACTAAGCCAATTTAAATATAAAAAAATAAAAACATGTCCAAACATAATTTTGGAAAATTTTATAAATTTAATATATGCTTTCAATAAAATTATAAAGTTTACGAAGTTCTAAAATTTTCGAACCTTTTTAACAACTTTAAAAAGAATTTCGTGAATTTATTTTTCTCAATAGCATCGACTAAAAATGTGTTCTCAAGTGTATTTTTTGTTATTATTGAACCTAAACCTATCCTTTAAAATAAGCTAAAAAACCTAACTATAATTCAGGAAAAGGAAAAAAATAGGAGGATGGAGTCTCAACTGTAGCTCGAGGTAAATGGAAAAAAATCGGATTAAACCTCGAGGGATGGTGGAAGAGTTGGCTATAAGCTGTAATCTGAGTAAATCTAGTCAATTTAAAACACTACACACGTCAGGTCATATTATCTGATCAATTTTATTTTGAACAGAATGGCGTTTATGTTGGGAACAAATAATCAGAATAATAAAGGCCTACACTCTGATAGTTTAAAAAACTAACTGCTTAATTTGCAATAGCCATAATTTGGGGGATTTATAAGTTTATAAAAAATGTTGAAAATCCTGGCTTTGGCATACACTTTACAAGAGCGATCATACACAATCACCAATGTCTTACAGATAGAAATATGTGTCTTTTAAGATGTGACACCATGTCATACAATGAAATGGTTTCCCTAACTTTGTAAAAAAAAGTGACTACAAAAAATGAAAGCTCTAATTGTCAGCTCAATCATATTACTGGCCTTACAGGTAACCTAATAAAGAGCAGTTGGGTTGGACCCTAAAAAGGGGATCTAGATACAATATATATACTCTTTAATAAAAAAATATATCTTCTATACAAATAAAAGTATATTTAAAAATATCAAAAAGATATAATATATTATTTTTATCATCTGCTAAACAAGAGTATTAAACACAAGGTGCTATTTAAGAAAAAGTTTATCCATTCCTTCTGCATAATAAGCCATAAGGATGATGAGGAAATCCAATCCTGTGGCTCACAAAAATAAATTGATAACATTACTTTCCCACCCAACCTCTATAAATGAACTTTGTGTGTCCCAGTAATAAAAGTAATGGAAGGAGAATAATACCTCAACAAGCTGAAAGACAAATTACATCAAATTCTATAGTTAGTTTCTTAAGAGGAAGTACCCCCTAAATTAAATATTTCTACCTTGTCTAAAACACTAACAAACACTTAATATTTTGACGGTTATAATAAAATATATAATAAATATAATTATGATTATAAACCATAAGAGACTTCGTTGTATAAAAATTTTTTAACAAATACAATCAGCAAATTGAAATTAGCCAAAATATTTCTATTTTTATAGCCAGTCTTGTGATAAATATATTTTTATTAAATTAAACATTATGTATATCAATAATAGTTAAGAAATATTTTTGTATTAGATCTTCTTCTTAAAAAGAAATGAGTTAATGTTTGTTCAAAATTTTACAAATAAATTTTCATTCAATATTTAATAATATAATAGCCATGTTTAAAAAATAGTTTTATTTGGAAACAAAAAAAATTTTCTGATTAATTTTTAACATATAAAAACTTTTATATTCCCTATAAAATTTAATTATTTATAAAATATAAAACTCTTGATAAAAAGTAAAAATTAAAAGTAATGAATATAATTTCAAAGAATCACATTAAAAATATATTCTAAAAGATATAATAAATTTTATATCTGTGTATATAAGAGAACCGTCACTGTTGTGGGGGGATGACAGGTGCTCGAGCCACCTGAAAAATTTTAAATTTTTTTTATACTGAAAAAAAAGAAGATCATTTTTGAAATGTTAGTTAAAAATAGGCCATTTTTTAAATAATTATTTTGATCCCCCTGAGGTTATAAAGGCTTGACACCCCTGGCATATATAATCATAATATAAGTTAGCCATTATCCAATTTAATTTTTTAAAACTATTTAAGGTTATCAATTTGACCTTACAAATAATTTTCATACACTCTTATAGTTTAATTTTATTAAAATATTAAAATATAATTTTAAAATAATTCAAGCAAAAGAGTTTTCAGTGGCTAAGCTAAAAATTTTTAAAGTAATATTTATTTGGGCAGAAAGATGATACTACACTGATTATGACTATATGATATTAAATTGATAAAAAAAATCTTAACCAAATCTTCTGAGGGCTGGATCTATACTGTTGGGTCTATTGGTGGCAGCCATTACAATAACATGAGCTCTTTGCTTAAGACCATCCATCAATGTGAGCAATTGTGAAACTATTCTTCTTTCAACTTCACCGTGAGTCTTATGATATTATAAAATATAATTATAAAAAAAAGAATATATAAATTAGATAAATTTTTCATGTGATGCATAAATTTAGCATGTATTATGTCATGTGTAAGATAGTAAATTATAAATATGTGTAGCAAAAATTTATTATGCAAATAATGAAATGAAATTAACCTTTTCCCTTTTTGGAGCTATTGCATCTAACTCATCTATAAAAATAATTGCTGGTGCATTTTTTTCAGCTTCTTCAAAAGCTTTTCGGAGATTACTCTCAGATTCACCAGCCAATTTACTCATAATCTCTGGTCCTATATAATATTTTTTTTAAATAAATTAGTATCAAATTAATAAAAACTATTATTTTATAAGCATCATATGTTGAGGATTAATTATTGTTTTAAAATAATTACCATTTATTAAAAAGAAAAAAGCTCCTGTCTCATTTGCAACTGCCCTTGCAATCAGAGTTTTTCCTGTTCCAGGTGGCCCATATAACAGTATACCTCTTGGTGGCTATGGACAAATTATATTATATTGATTTTTAAAATATTTACTTTAACACCAATAGCTTTAAATAAGCCTGGGTGTCTCAAAGGCAATTCCACCATTTCTTTAATTTGTGCAAGCTGCTTTCTACATCCACCTATATCATCATAACCTACCTCATTTAATGACTCCTCCTCTTCCTAATTACAATTATAGAATATATTTGATTTTTAAAAAATTACAGCTCTTTTAACAGGTTCACCTTCAAAATGAATAACCGTGTCTGGAGCTACAATACAATAAGGTGATGGGTCTGTTTCTACAACTTTAAATTCTACAGCCCTCATTCCACCTCTTACCAATAATATGTCACCTTTTCTTACTGGTCTGTAGGCTTCCATAAAATATGGCTTGAGATAAACCTCAAATAAATTTCTAGAAATTATCAAGCATATAAATATAAATGGTGATATTTTTATACCCAGTTAATCCTTCAACTGTATCATCAATAGGCAAAACATGAATTCTTTTACCATATTGTATATCAGGGCAAGGTTGTATACTCACAATATCGCCTATTCTTACCCTTAAATTGTTTCTAACAACTCTATTCATTCTAATTTTTTCATTTGGTATAGTGTCATCTGAAAGTACTACACAAACACTATCCCTTCTTTTTTTTCCTTTTAATAAAACTGTATCTCCCCGAAATAGTTCTAATTCATCCATTTTACGCTATATTATATTTAGCTTAAATATGAAAAGTTGGATAATACTTGTGATAAGGAAACGACAGAATTATCATCATTTATAGCTTCATCTACAAGTAAACGATTTGGTTTATCTTTTGGTTTGAGTATTGCAGTTGCTAAATCATCCCTTATAAGATAAAAATTTATAAATCTATGGGTAAAAAAAATTCTAACCCTGATTGCTTATTATCCTTTTTATCTGTCATTATTCAATAAGAATTTTTATCGTGTTAAAACCGTAATATGCTCTAAAAAAATATTTCTACACGTTTTATCGAAAATTCAATATTACATTAAATTTTTAAACTAAAAAATATTTGATGACTTTTAAATTGAGTGTTATCAAAATATCGTTCAATTATAGTTATTATTTCAACCCTATCCATTAGAAAATTTTATTACCTTAATATTTAAAGGGGATATTTTAAATTTGCCTCCATATATCTATGGGAGAGTGTGGGGGGAGGGAGTGGTGAGGAAAAATACCTTCATTTTTATATCTTAAAAACCAAGAATTAGAGGCAAATCTTGCAACTGTCTATCAAAAATTATTATCTGCCTTCTCAGAAATGAAAGAAATTTGCCAAGTAATTTAAATTTTATTAAATTATTTTTCATGCTAATCTTTAATTTAAAATTTATTCTGTTATACTATTTTTAGACTTGATTTTATATCTTTTAATATCCTTTTTTTTAAATTTTTTATTACCAGTGCAGAATTTCATCTATATATATATTGCACATTTAATAAATCAATATATCATATGCTGCCATATATTTCCAGCTCTGGTTCTCATTTATATGAGTCGTCAAAACATAACAACTTATGGTAATTTTAATGCCATACAGTTTTTTTTTGCAATGCTTAAAATCATTTTCCATTCGCTGGGAATTTATTTATCCATTTTTGTATAATGTCAAATATTTGTCAATCAGACTTAAAGTGGGAGTTAAAACCTTTCTAAGCTCACTTAACTGAAAGGAAATTGAATAAAACTATTTATCAACTGCGGAAATTTTTGCAGTAGATTGTTTGATGAATCTATTATAATTCGACCACTACAATTAGGTCATATCACATTCCCTATTTTTTAGATATAATGATGTATAAATGTTGGAAGGTGTGCTTATATACTCAGATAAATATTTTTATAAGTAAGAAAAATGCTAAAAATAACTTATAATTTAATTGGTTATTATGTGGTATGTCTTACCTTAAACTAATCAATATCAGCCGGTGCCTATAGAAGTATTAGACAAGATAAAACTGACGAAGTGCCTATAGAAGTATTAGACAAGAATAAAATTGTTGAATTTTTGAATAGCTTTATTTGCAAGTATTATTGGACAAGAATAAAATTGTTGAATTTGTGAATAGCTTTATTTGCAAGTATTAATCCCGAATAATTTATTATATAAAAATCGCATCGAATATAAAAAAAACAACTGATACAATATAAAACGTTTTCATAAAATATCTATATATATCTCTATCGTAAATCAATTTATGGTAAATAAATTGTGGCTAAAGGCTTCGTATATAAAAATACAATAATTATTACGTGTAAAAAGTAATATCGATTAAATATATTAAGAAATTATATTAAGAAATAATAGCGTACAAAAGCGTAAATGCAACATGCACTCCCTCCAAAAAAAATATTTAAAAAATAAATATTGAAATTCGTGAATTAACTACAATTTATAGGGAATAGGGGCTCGCTTGGCATGCGGGAGGTAACTCTTATGTTACATGCATAATAATGTTAATATTTAATGTTACAATAATGATATCAAAATAATACCCTATACTTACCTTAAGATTAACAAGGAATTATATAACAAATCATATATATTTATATGGGGATAGTAGGGACTACAATTGGGAAGGAGAAATTATTGTCATTATTTCCTTCTTTTTTTTTTTGGAATATAATAAACAATTACAATTGGGAAGGGAATTATTGTCATTATTAACAATTATCACAACTAGGAAAGATATATTTGTAACCAACAATATAAAAGTAAAAATATAATGCAATGTATTCCTATTAATAATTTCTAATGTGATCAATATGAACAAAGAAAAACTTATCATCTACCTGAATTTCCCAAATGACGTTACTAATTCTCCCAATGACAATCCCCACACGCCATTCTTGCTTGGAGCCCATTTTGAAAAAAACAGAATTGCCAATTGTTAATTCTCTAAACTTTATTCTTTTAATTTTAGGTAGCAAATCACAGTCACTGTCCTTCAAAAAACTCCATCTCCATCTTAGTTCCCTGCCAAATAATCTAAACGCAGGTGAATCTTTGGTTGTCGAATGAGCGGTATTGCGATAATTCAATAACACCTCTTCCAATAACCTATCATCCCATCCACCTAATTTATAAATCATATCCTTAGCTGAGCGTACCGCTCTTTCAGCAATACCATTTGAAGACGGGTGGTATGCAGGAGTAAATATATGTGTTATACCCTTTTTTAATAAAAAATTTTAAAAATCATACGACCTAAAAGCTGGTCCATTATCAGAAACCAACTCTACGGGGTAACCAAATCTAGAAAAAATATTATTTAATACCATGATAGTGGTCTTAGTAGTAATATTTTTAACTTTGATAATCTCAAGCCATCGAGAGTATCCATCAATTATTACTAATCCATAATAATTCTTAATGGGTCCAAAAAAATCAATAAATATACGATACCAAGGTCTGCTCGGATCTACCCAATGATTATTTCTAACCTTTGGTAATTTTGGAGCATTTACCATACACATATTACACCTAAAAACCATTTCCTTGATGTCTCTTTTAACCCCGGGCCACCAAAAATATCTTTCCATAATATCCATCATCCTCGACAAACCTATATGTCCCTCATGAAGAACATTTAGAATCTCTTTTCTTAACGATTGGAGAATAACAATCTGCTCTCCCTTAAAAATACAATCATTTTTAATAAACAACAACTTACCTAGCTCCATATATACTTTAATCTGTGTGAAATCTCCCACTTCATTCAAAATAAATTGTTTAACTTTGATAAGTTCTAAATCTTCCACAGTCTCTCTTCTAATCATATCTAAATTATTAAATTCTCTGAATGTCAAAATCAAATCCGGCTAAAACAAAAAGCCCATTTCTGTAGCCTTGGCGACATATTGTAAAGTTTAACCGGATCTGTTCCAAACAAATTAACTAGAGGTTTATGATCCGTAAAAATTTTAAAATTTCTCCTTACTATATATTCCCTCCATTTCTTAACAGCCACAACAACCGAAAAACCTTCTTTCTCAATAATTGAATATCTTTTCTCAGCACCCGTCCAGGCTTTTGACATAAACTCAATAGGCCTTTCAAGACCATTCTTTTCAATATGAAATAAAACAGCACCCATACCTTTATTAGAGGCATCATTAGAAATAAATAAGTTTTTACTTCTGTCATAATGTGCAAGAATTGGTGCATTGCACAATCTTTCTCTAATCTCATCAAAACTAGTTTTTTCCTTAATTCCCCAATAAAAATTTTTACCCTTTTTAAGCAATTCATATAAATTAGATGCCAATTTAGAAAAACCTTCAATGAACCTTGAATAATAATTCATCAGACCCAACCACGAATGCAATTCTTCCTTACTATTAGGTTCAATCATGGTACTTATAGGATCAATCTTTTCTTTAATTGGCTGTATACCTTTGTCACTTATCAAATAACCTAAATACTTAATACTCTTTTTGCAAAATTCACTTTTTTTAACATTTCCAATCAGCCCAAACTCCAACATTCTTTCAAACACTCTTTTTAATTTATAAAAATGGTCTAACTTATCCTTACCAAAAATTAATAAATCATCTAAATAATAAATGACCCCCTTAATATCAGCAAATATTTCGTCCATAGTCTTCTGGAAATACGCAGTCGATACTGTAAGCCCAAAAGGTAGTCTATTAAATTGAAAAAGACCCTTGTGTATGGAGACGGTCAAAAATTTGGAAGTTTCTTTAGATACAGGAATCTGCAGATACGCCGATGAGAAATCTATCTTTGAAAAAAACTTTCCATTACCTACTTTAGCAATTATGTCATTAATCCTTGGAAGCGGATATTCGAACCTTTCTAATTGTGGGTTTACAGTAACTCTAAAGTAAGCACAAACTCTCAACGTATTATCTTTTTTTTTAACTAACACTAATGGAGTGGCCCATTGTGAAAATCTGACAGGCTTAATTACTCCCTGCTGTCGCCATTGTTCTATAGTGTTTTCTAATTCTTCTTCTAACTCAAAGGGCACTCTCCTGGCCTTAACAAATTTTGACTTAAAGTTATTTTTTAATAAAATGTCTATTTCCAAATTCTTAACTTTTCCAATTCTATCATTAAAAACACAGTCAAATTTCTTAATTAGTTTGTTGACGTCACAACTCTCTTCAAAATACCCTTTTTTAGTAAATAACGATTGAATGACATAATTTTTTTTATAAAATTTATCAGTATCTTTGAAAGTATTGTCAAAAGTTAAAAAATTCACTCTATCTCCTATCTCAAAAATAGTGTTTACATCAACGTTGAATTTGATTATGTCAAATTCTTTAATCCAGTCTTGACCACATAGAGGTGGTCCCTCCCCATCCAAAACATAAATATTTAAATATTTAATTGTATTCAAATATTTAACCTTAATATTCGAGACCTGACCAACGACTGTGATAGGAGAACCCTCATAAGAGAATAAATTTTTAGAACAATTTTCCAACTCAATTTCTTCAAAATTCTCCAATTTTTCAAAATTTTTAATGGGCAAGGATGTCACCGGAGAACCCGTATCTATCAAAAAAGAAAAATTAAGATTATAGTTGAATATTAATCATAAAATCATTAATAAAATTTATCTTATTTTTTGGCCTCAAATTATATGGCGTTTGTATAATTTCTTGTTTTTTGAAATTGTTGTTGTTGTTATCGTTGTAGTTGTTGTTTTTGTTGTTGTTGTAGGTCCTACCATTATGCTTGTTTTCATTCCATGTCGTATAGCATTGTGCACCATATCTGTCATCTTTTCTCCATGTATCTTTTCAATGAAGGACTTTTTATTATTAATCTCCAATGATTGGCATTTGACAACAATCTCCTCAATGATAATCAAGTCTGTCGTGTTTTCTTCTATCAATCTTGTTTTTAATCTCTCATTGTGACAATTAATAATGAATTGAACCGCTATCAATTCTGAATTAAGACCAGGTCCGCACGCCTTCAGCCTGTCCAGATATTCTCTGGATGACT